AGTTTTTATTTTTTAGTGAAACAAACTAATTAACCTTGAGATTTAAAATTGGTAATTTCTAGTTTATAGGCTGAGTGATATTTATATTTCTCTTTTCTTTGGTGTATGTGTGCGGGAGTTGATAGCATTTAGGACATAAACAAGTCAACTCTCATCCCTAGCATTCCTGAATTCTAATGCAACCTCAACTCCCATCAATGGAAATACAATCATTCTCCATTCACTGCATATTGCAAAAGCAATAAAGCTTCTTTATTGAAACTTTCCTCTTCAATTTTGAATGGGGACATGCATGGGGGTGGCCCAGTTCATTGGCAGTTTGGCACTAGGGATGTTAACGGCGTTCCGCGGGGTCGGGGACCCCCTCCCCATCTTTGTCCCCGCGAATCACAGGGATGGGGTTCCTCGCGAGGATTTTTGACAGGGGATAGATTTTGCCCCCCGTCCCCGTTTCTCACAGGGAACGAGGATACTCATGCCACCAATTAATATTAGATGGCTCTGACAGCAATAGCAAATGGCTCTGGCAGCAGCAATAACAGAGTAGATGGATTTGGTGGCAACAGAGCAGATGCATCCAACAGCAACAGAGCAGATGCATCCAACAGCAACAGAGCAGATGGCTTCGGCAACAACAGAAGAGTGGATTTAGCAGTAGGCTTCAGCAGTAGCAGCAGTAGAGCAGATAGATCCGGAAACAACAGAGTAGATGGCTTCAGCAGCAGTAGAGGAGATGGATTCAACAGTAGGCTTCGATAGCGACGGCAACAGAGCAGATGGATCCGGCAACAACAGAGTAGATGGCTTCAACAGCAGTATAGGAGATGGATTCGACAGTAGGCTTCGGTAGCGACGGCAGTAGAGCAGATGGATTTGACAACAGCAAAGTAGATGGCTTCAACAGCAGCAAAGGAGATGGATTCGGCAGCAAGCTTTGGTAACAATAGCAGCAAAGCAGATGTCTTCAACAACAACAGCAACATAGCAGATGGATCCGGCAACAGCAGAGTAGATGGCTTCAGCAGTAGTAGAGGAGATGGATTCGACAGCAAGCTTCGACAGCAGAGGAAACTGAAGGTGAGATGGAGGTGAGAGATGGGTGAGCTGTAGACAAAGAGATTGAGAGTGAGACTATGAGTGATGAGAATTAAAATAAATTAGGGTTAGGGTTAGGGTTAAATGTAGGGGAATGGGTTGGGTTGGAAGTTGGGTTGGGTTGGATATTATTGGGTTAAGTTTAATTGTAATTGGATTGGATTTGGGTTTGGGTTTGGGTTTGAATTTAAATAACAAATTAATTTTAAAATAAAAACTTTTTTTTTTTTTTTTGCAGGAATGGGGATCCCTGCAGGGCGAGGAAAATTCCCTATGAAATTTTGCAAGGAGAAAATGGTCCTCGTCCTCTCCCCACAGGGAGGAATATTCCTCCTTGCCCCATCCCCATGGCGGGGATCCCCGCAGGCCCCTTGGGGAACGAGGAGAATTGCCATCCCTATTTGGCACCTACCACTGCCTAGGATTCTGCTTTTCAGACACAGACCATAAAGCTAAAATAAAAGCATCCAAACTACTGCCTAACTATTCACACACACAAAAAAGAAGAAGAAGAAGAAGAAAGAAAAACGAAAAAAGAAGAAAGAAAAAGAAAAGAGAAAAAGAAATTAGTTGTTGTTAATACCGTATTGATATGCATGTCGATTTTGTTTCTAAAACGGTACATATCGAATACTGAAATTTTTTGCGTACCGTTTCGGATTTATCATTATAAATATATATTTTTATAAATTAAATATCAAATTTTAAAATAAAAAAAGAGATACTAAGGTTTAAAACCATTATATTCCTATAAATTGAAAATAAGTTTAAAACGATCATTTTTAGTCCCTCAACTTTTAATATATGCATATTTTTCATCCATCTACTCTATATTAAGGGATTAAAAATGTATGTATTTAGACAAACTTAATGGAGTAATTGATAGAAGGACTAAAAAAAAAATGAAGAATGAACTAAAAAAGTATATAAAAAGTTAAAGGATGAAAATTATGTAAATCATTAAAATTGAGGACCAAAAAATGGAATTTACCTTTTTTAAATTTGAATTGAATTATACTCGGTAATTTTTGTGTATCGGCTAATATGCCAAATTCCGACCGGTACATCAAAACAGATGAAATTTAATTGAAATGAAATTGGATCATATATTATTTTGGTTTAATATAAAAATCGATACATACCAACCATACCAACCGATACAATACGAAATTAATAACCTTAAGTGCTGCCGAACTACACCTAAACCTAATATGCTAGCTCACGCCCCACCAAATTTCTCCAGACAAAGGCCTAGCCCAATCCAGGCCTCAGACAACAAGGCTATATACACATACTCTGGATCAAATATCCAACATAAGTACATCTTTTTGAATTTGAAGTGTCCAAATCTTTCATTTATGTCAATGAGGCCTCCAATCAATTAATTAATGATTTAAAGGATGAAGCCTTAGCTTGAATCTTCTATTTATGTGAATAAGCCTTCATTTAAGTGATTAAAGATCTAAAAAATAAGGTTCTAGTTGGACTCTCGAAACGATGGGTTTTCATTAAATTTTTCTTAATTTTGTAACGTATTTAAATAGTTACATATTTTTTATATTGAACACAGTTGCATATTAATCATTATGTATATATAGAAATCCTTTATTTACCAAAATGTTGCTCAAGTATACATCAAATAATCCTCCACACTATCAAGAGTGCTTCACGATCACACATTTCAAATCCTTTATTTATTTCTAGACGTCAACAAATTTAAATTTCCATCACTCTAGCCAAAACGTAACTAGAATTAATTAGAAGAAAATTTCAACAGGCAGAGACTGCAGAAGCACCCGCAGCCCCACCCGCAGCCCCACCCGCAGCCCCACTGCTGGCCTCATTGATTGCAGTTAGAATGACAATAAGAGCTACAATGAATCCATAATCAACGTTTGGATACACAGTAACCATGAAGTTGTCCTTCCCGATCAACACGCTTTGAATTGTAGTCTTCTTGTGCATCTGCAGACATGAATTTAAGAAATTAGTTTCATTTCTCGTACAGGGTTTTCAATTGTTAGTGTTAGTGGGTGATCAAGAAATTGTTCTTACTTGTGCAACAATGGAGGAAGACTCTCCAGCGTAAACCACGCAGGATCTCTCCGACCAACTTCCTTTGACCTTGAAATCACAAACCTTCTCATCTGTGTTATTTGCAAGAAAAACATCTAGTTTCGTTTTCCATTGAAACATTGAAGATCGTTTCACTGTAAATATCAAATCACTCGAATTTGTGCTTTCTCCTCTGAAAACTTGCCATCTATCATGTGCGCTCATTAACTGCCCCAAAACAATGAAATTAATTAGGAAAATGTTTTGAATATCCT